TTTGATACCTAAATGTAAAACATGACACTTTCAGAATATAGAAATGAAATCTTTATGACTTGTCCTTAGACAGTAAATGCACAATCTCCAAAAGAAAAATTGATGATTAATTTTGTAAAAATTAAAAACTTGTGATGTACAAAAGACACCATCAATAGAATGACTAGATAAGCAGTAGTCTGGGAGTAAGCATTTGTAAGTCACCCAAACAAAGACTGTAACGAATGCTTCATAAACCCTATAGTGAGAAGTCAGCCCAATTTAAAAATGAGCCAAAAGCTTGAGCAAGCATTTCACCAAAGAGACTATAAGACGGCAAATCAGCACATGCAAAGATGTTCAGTGTAATTAGCTGTTAGGGAAATGCAAATTAAAACCATGGTGAAATACCACTGCACATCTTAGAATGACCTAGATGAAAACCCTGAGATTACCGGGTCCTGGAAAGGGTGTGGAGCAGCTGGGATTCTCCCAAGCTACGGACAGCAACAAAAATGGTGCAACCCTTTTGGAGAACAGTGTTGAAGTTTCTTGCAAAGTCACATTACCAAGTGGCTGAGCAATTTGATTTCTGGGCATCAGCTTAGGTGAAGGAAAGCTTCCATTCACACTAAAGGCACCATGCAGTACTTAAAGCAGTCTACCCATGCTCATAACATTCTAGAACAAGACAGATGCCCCTTATTGATAAAGTCTAATACATCCATGCAAAGGAATACCAGGTTAAAAAAAAAAAATCAATGGATCTCAAAGGCCTCTGCTGATTGGAAGAAGAAGTAGTTGGTTGTTTTTGCTCTTTACTCTGTTGGGAGGCCCTCCACCCAGCTCTCAAATAAATCATTCATGGAGGCTTATTCTCATTTATAAATGCCCGGCCTTAGGTTGGTTTGTTGCTAGCCAGCTCTTCTTAAATCATCCCATCTACCTTTTGTCTCTGGGCTTTTTCCTTTTCTTACTTCTGTATATCTTACTTTCACTCTTACTCCATGGCTGGCTGTGTGGCTGTGTGGCTGTGTGGCTGTGTGGCTGTGTGGCTGTGTGGCTGTGTGGCTGTGTGGCTGTGTGGCTGTGTGGATGTGTGGATGTGTGGATGTGTGGATGTGTGGCTGGCCCCTGATGTCCTCCTCCTTCTCTCGCTCTTCCTTTCTTTCTTTTCCTCCCAGATTTCTCCTTCTATTTATCCTCTCTGACTGCCAGCCCCATCTATCCTTTCTCCTGCCTCGCTATTGGTCCATTCAGTTCTTTATTAGATCATCAGGTGTTTTAGACAGGCAAAATAACACAGCTTCACAGAGTTAAACAAATGCAACATAAAGGAATGTAACAAATCTTTGCATTAAACAAATGTTCCCGAGCATAAACAAATGTAACAGGTCTTAAAATAATATTCTACAACACTCTGTGCTGTGGGATTCTGTGTAAGTGGCATTCTCACAGATAAAGCTATGGGATGGAGGACAGATGGGTGGTTGCAAGCAGATAGAAGTGGATTAAACATGACTATACAGGAATGTACTTTTGGGAGCGGATAGATGGGATCTGTATTCCAATTGTAATCAGTATGTACATATGTTTAAATAAAAAGAATGATAAGCCATGTAGTTTTCATACTACAAATTTATTTTGGAATTTAATTTTAAGAAAAAGGAATGTTGAATGCTGTCATGTCTTCCAGCATCCAAGAATATAATGATAGGCTTTTATCTTTTGTTCTATTTATATGATTGTTTTAGGTTTTTTTTTCTGTTGCTGTGATAAAATACAGGGCATCTTAGAGAATTTTATTTGGGTTTGTAGTTTCAGACGAATGAGCTTATTTATCATGGTGGGGAGGCACAGCAGTGAGCTGAAGGTGTGGGAGCAGGAGCAGGAACCCGAGAACTCACACCTCAACCATAACCGTGAAGCAGAGAGCACACACGGGAAGTAGGCAAGGCTTCAGGCTCAAATCTGACCCCCAGGAAGGCTGCACTTCTTATACCCTCCCCCACAGCACCGTCAGTTGGGGTCAATTATTCACACAGGCACACGGAATAAAAAGTTACGTTTTTAAGTTTTTGCCTCCTGTATTACTTAATATTTTGAATTTATTGCCACTAAATGCTTCAGCATATGGCTGTTTAGGAATCAAAGACACTGAAATTCTTCGTAATTAAGACATGAAGATATACTGGAAGGAGTCTGGACTTTGTTGCAGGCAGACCTGGTTTCGAAACCCGGTTCTCCTAGTTTTTCTCGACGTTCCCATCTGTGCTCTCTCCCGCACTTTGGATGGATCTTAGGGAATAGAGAGAAGCATGATCTGACTGATCTGAGAGGTGGGTTCTAACATCACTAATTCCCAGGATTGTTGTAGCAAGTGTGGATGGTGTTGCGACTCCTTGGCTCACTGCTCATATGTACAGGCCTAAAGGGTGTGCGGAATTGTCAGTGAACCCAAGGTTGTTACTAGTCTACATTCATGGAGATAATATTTAAATGGCCTGAGATGAGATGTTTGTTTTAAATGATCATACATATGTGATTAAGACAGAAGAAGGTAGGTGTGACTGGAAGGTGTTCAAGATTCTGTCTAACTCACACACGACTAAATTCCAGCTTACTCCCACACAAAACAAACTTTTACATCTCTCGCCTAGCCTGTGAGCTTTATAGATCTTTTAAAAGATTAGCTTTTAAGACTTACTCAGAAGCCAGTGTTTGTAAAAAGTCCCCCCTCAGGGGCAGGGCAGGAGGAATAAAGTTTTTCTGTTTGTTTGGTTTTTGTTTTTTTTAAACTTGGAAAATATCTTCTTTCTGGGTACACCACCTATTGCTATAATTCACATTCACCATCAAACTTGTACACTGTGATCATCCTTATTTTATTTTGTAAAGGTTTCAAGTTTTCTGGGAATAAATAACATCCAGCGTTTGTGAAAATTTACTCTTCTGAAGTGTACATTCCCTTTATACCGGTGCAAATTCTGTCCTGGACAGTTTCTCAAAAGTGTGTATTATAGTATGGATCTTGACATTAGCCTGCCAGAAAGAATTTGAGTCTTAAGCATGGAGCAAAACTTGCAGATTATGACTTCCATCTAGATTTTGTTACTTTCTGAATATGAATTCCCTTTCCAAAAGCAACATTCCTCTGCCTGCTCTTCAGTCTCCTGAAGCCATCTCTCAGATCCCTCCTTTTTCCACGCTGCCCAGTGAGGCCCGCTCTCGATCTCGGGGTAAAAGAGGTAGTGCTTGCTCCCAGCCAGATGTTTTTCCCCAGGCTCCTGTTGACTCAAGCCAGTCAGGCATTCTCTCCCACCCTTTGTCTTTTCAACCTCATCCTTGACTCTTTATCATAACGCTGTATGGAGGTTTCTGTTTCCTGATTGCGCTCCATCACCGGCTTGAGCTTTCATTGGGTTTCAACAGCTGCAACATGTCTAAACTACATTATCTTGAAAAGTGTTGGCACTAGTAAGAGTGAGAAAGGAGCCAAAGACTAAAACAAAACATTTCAAAGGGTTCCTATGGATACGCCCCGACACCCGGAAGCACACACTGGATCGGGTTGACTCACTCAGCTGCTGACAGCCTCTTCTGCACGCTGCCTCATTTGAGCATCCTGTAATGCGTGCCTCAGAAGAATCGGAGAATCTGATGCCTGCCATGACACCACTAAAGGTGTGCCTTTCGGCCTATAAAACCTATTCTTAAATAGGTTATTGTATTTGAAGTGATTGATTACTCTTTAGAGATAAAATATGAATATTGAACAAGGGTTGTGCACACCAAAGTGGGAAATGGTTTGCTTTATGTAGAAAAGTAATCAAGAAATAATGAGTGTGCATTCCAGTCAGAGTGAAGTCTCAGAGCAGATTGGAAAGACTTCCTCTATTGCAGGTTAAACCTGTATGGAGCCGGACTCGGTGGTAATGAGGAGGTTCAACATTCCTTTGCATCTGACTTTATGAACCTCAATGTGTCACTGTGACTTGACTTTCCTCTTTATTTATTTGGGTTTTAGTTTTAATATATTTTCTTTGAGTCAGGACACAAGTGTAAACAGTGCTGGATGCCCCTGAGTTACTGACGGCAGAGAGCCGTAAGGGAGTAAGATATCCTGGAGGGAAGGTCAGCTCTCCGCCATTTAGGATTTAAAAGGAAATGGTTTTAATTCTCCATACACATCATCATGGCTCCCCCCACCCCCCGGCTCGGGTGATTTGCTTGTAGTAGGCCTTTTCTACTAGCTCTTCCTGGATAAAGTTTTTAATGAATTTTCACCTATAACACATATGGGAAATGCATGTCCTACTTTGTCATTAGCGTTCAGTTTTGTGTATGAAGCAGAAATGCCAAGTTTTCGTGTCATATGTGAATACGTCTTTAGTGTTCCTCAGTACTCCAAGATGTCAGTTATATGTATATTTTCACTCACTAATTCCATGGTTTCAGGTTTTATTTTATTTTATTTTTTTTTACAATCAATTCTCAGTCTAATTGGAATTTCTTTTGACATGAAACAGTAGTTCTTATCCAGATGTATTAGGGTCACATGAAGAACAAATCATGCCTAGAGTAATTCAGACTCTCTGGGGTAGGTTATGACCTCTGTAGTTTTTAGAATTCTACAAGTGGTTCATGATGTAAAACCAGAGGGGAGAACTACCCTACAGAGTCAGGAAGAGTGTAACCCTTCCCCGGATTGATCCAATTCACCTTGCAAACACATGGACATGAAAACAGTAGTGATAAAGTGAGAAGAATAGGGGTGGTAGTGGATATAAACTTTATACATCTCAACACTCCAATTCCGTCTTTATGATCCTATATAGTGTTATCCAAAAGATGGATAAATACACTTAACTCTTAGTAATACCTTAAGTAAATAAAATTTCAAAACCTTAAATTAAATAAAACCTTAATAATACCTCAGGGTGGTAGAACACTTTAAATTTATTTTTATTTCTAATTATGCATATGAGTGAAGGTGCCCCCCAGAGGAGGCAGAAGAGTGTGTTGAACTCCTGGAACTAGAGTTGCAGGCAGGGATGAGCCGCCGGCCACAGGTGCTGGGCAAGACTCCCCAAGAGCGGTGGCGCATGACTTGGACCACTGAGCTGTCACCCCAGTCCCAGGAAGGTAAACTGCAAACGTCCTTATCCATCCTCCTCGTAGTTCCCAATCCTTGGACAAGAGCCATCTCTTACTCTTCGAGAGAAAATCAGTTGCAGAAAAACGTTAACTTTTAAACACAAAGATTAACCTCTAGTCAGAAAGCTACATGGACAAGGGAGCACCAAGTGTTTGCCCCGTGCTCAGGTGTCAAGACGGAGTGTGTTCCCCGCCAGAGTGCAGGACTCGATGAGAATATGCAGACCTATGAACCTGTATTTCAGTGCTTCCGGCTTCTGTTTTATAAATAAGCATTTATTTATTTTTAAAAGATTAGTTATATATATATTAATTTAAATTATAGCTGATTTCAAGTTTACTAGAGTTTTCTTTTTACTGTAACTTATCTCTGAGGGGGAAAAAAACAGTTTGGAGAAGGTTGGTCGGAAAATTCACCCATGTAGTTCAGCAGTTATTGCGTTGGCAGACAAGGAAATCACAACAGCCAGTACGGTGTTACCTTAACCTCTCACCTCACACTCCCTGTTTCACAGAGGAAGTCAGGTCAGTGGTCCTGAGGACAGACGGACTTCTGAAGGAGGTGAGAGCCCAAGGTATGTCTTCACCGTCAACAAGACTTTGTTTCACCTGTGCCTGTGCTGTTCTGGACGGTGAGGGTTTCACCACATCAAACTGAACCTCAGATTCCATTGCTCCCGAGATGCACTGTTAACTTTACTACAATAGAAAAAGTACTGCCAATCAAATTATGACAAAAGGCCTCCCAAACACAATGGCCAATAAAGGTATCCAATTACAGAGATTTTAAATTTTGAAAAATATGTGCACCTTGGAATCAGTGAAACCTGGGTTCCTTTCTTATGAACTGTGAACACAGAATAATACAGCAGTCTACTTGTCCAATATATCCAGGGATAAAAACTTTCACAGCTAGATTGCTCTACACCATGCCAAGAATTAAGTTATGAATGTTATAGCAAATTAGAAGGAAACACTCTGTGTGCTAATTTGCTTAGAGACTGATTTGGTCCACAGGACAGAGACTGTTCTGCTGGACCCAGTTTGAGAAGTACTAGAGGCCACATCTTCTTGAAAAGGCAGGGGACCCTACGATGACCTGTGTGGAGTTGTGTGTTCCTCCCAAAGCCAGTGCACCTTCCTACAGCGGCTGCCTGTTCTCTGCTAAAGATTTTGACTACATGGGTGACTCAAGGCCTACAACCTTCCCAAAGTGCTAGCACACAATGAGGGGAGGGGACATTTTGTCTTAAACACTTGTATCTATACCAGAGCAGACCAGCAATATTACTGAGTCAGATCTCAGGTCAGAAACAGAGTTTTAAAGATTATCTGAAACAATTCTGTTGATGAGGTCTTGTACGTAAGGTGTCAGAGGTAAATAATTTGCTGGCAGTCCTACTCAGTTTAAAATCTCTCTCTGTTCATATTCCTGTCATTCAGGGTCAAGGCTGATGAAGTCATTGTAATAACTGTACTAAATTTAATTATGTGCCTATTTGTACATATTTGTTTTATGTTTATTGTGGGGGGAAATTAAAAAAGAAACAGCAGTGACAACTTCCTCATTTATAGAATTCAAGGACGTGGCTAAACACATATTATCTAACCTAATTGTCTCAGCATCTTCAAAAGGAGATGAATTAAAGAGTTGAAGTGCTTTACCTGACACCACACAGCTAAGTGGAGGACCGGGGAGGACGTCTCACATCTCTTTCTGAACCCTTTCGCTGCTTCATCCCATCCCCTTATCTCAATGAAACAAACTTCAGGTGAAACGTTCTATGCTCCCTAGACGACAACTGCTCTCAGAGACTGACAGATTTCCTAGACACTCCTGGACCTTCGGAGCAAGGGGGCAGCCGATGCTTGGTGGGAATCCTGCGTGGTACCGCTGTGCCGCATCTGTGTGCAGAAGGAAGGATGGGCAGCTGTATTTCTTGGTCTCTGTATGCCTGATGTTGGCAACACATCCTCTTTCTCGGCAACTAAACTGTCAATTCATTCATATTAAATATACCTTCCTCAAAGAGTATTTTTTAAAAGAAAATTCTCACTTACTTTTATTACACCTTTAAGTTGTATACCTAGCTATCTTATTCTTTTTTGTTTGTTTGTTTTTGTATTTTCAAGACAGAGTTTCTCTGTGTAAGTACCTTGGCTGTCCTAGAATTCAACCAGGTGTGTTATTAGTAAGAGCTGGAAAATGCTCCCCGCAGAAACTGTACATAGTGTTAGTGTGGAGCTCTCTTGCCATAGCGTTTTCTCCCTCACACAAAACGAGTTTTAAATAAAATTACAAAACTCAAATCAAAAGTTTTCTTTGCATTTTCAAAACCACAAAGACTGTAAATTATAGTTATACAACTGTAGTAATGAAGATCACATAGTTTTAGTGTAAACACAGACAAATGGAAATGAGACAGAATACAGAACTAAGACGCTGAATGCCACTTACAGAGTCAATGACTTCACAGCAAAACTGCCAAGGCAATTAAATGGGGGAAAGATTTTGCAATAAATGACATTGGATGATGAGACAAATTTATGGGAAAATAATAAACTTTGATGTAGAGCTCATGAAACATTCAAAAAATTAATATGAGAGGAATCATAGGCATAAGGCACAAAAGTTAAGACTGCAAAACTGCCGGGCGGTGGTGGCACACGCCTTTAATCCCAGCACTCGGGAGGCAGAGCCAGGTGGATCTCTGTAAGTTCGAGGCCAGCCTGGGCTACCAAGTGAGCTCCAGGAAAGGCGCAAAGCTACGCAGAGAAACGCTGTCTCGAAAAACCAAGAAAAAAAAAAAAAGACTGCAAAACTTCTCAGAGAAAATGTTAAGACATTTGGGTAGGGAAAAAAATTCCAGATGTGGAAAACAGGTAGCATCAGAAAATATTTCAAACAGGTTTCATTGTAATGAAAACCCTGCTCAGAGGCATGTGACAAGATACACAGTGAGCCACACCATGGCAGAAGATACTCATGATGCAGAGAGCCATGAAAGAGTTTTAACTGCACTGGATAAGGAAGGTGTAGAAATGAATTAGAAAAAAACAACCTTGCAACCCGATTACAAAAGGGGTCAGAAGTCTTGAACTGACACCCCATGAAAAGCCAGAAAATGAGATACTGGAAAGGACAGAAAGCTGGGAAAGAGAGGGGTTGGAGAAGGGAAATCATACAGATGAAAACACTTGTATACGTTATGAAATTTTCAAACAGAAAACTGTTTTTACCTTTTTACTAAAGAAGCAGAGAGACAGTAGTTTTCAAATGGCAGAACTGAAAATCAGCTGGAACTCACACAGTTGCTGTTTGGCTGTTTGGATGTAGAACGGCACACACACTTTGGGAACGTGAATGGCATTTCCTTATCGAGTTGAAGATGCACTGATCCTAAGATCCAATTCTATTCCTATGTCCTACGTAAGTGGGATGGGAAAAAAAAACAGACACCCAGAGAAACACTTGCTGGAGCACATGCTCATAGCCGCTTTATTCCCAATAACCAAAACCCAAGAACAAACCAAGTTTCCATATGGAGAAGAAGGAATGAGCAAATCATAGTAACATAAAAATAATCCCGGCACTAACAAGGAATGAGGGAAGCAGCGTGGACGAGTCACAGGGTCGTGCTGAGCAGAAAGTCCGTATTTCATGTGAAAGAGCGTTCTGTGGTCGCGTGAGGCTTTAGAACCAGCAAAGCTAAGCTAGAGCAAAAGGAATGTAGGCAGTGAGAACTGATTAGGAAGAGACACATGGGAACTCTGTGGGGTGCTAGAAACAGTCTTGACTGGGTATTAGTTACGTGGATTTATACAGTTATCAAAATCCATTGAATTGTATATTTACAATCTATGCATTCTACTAGAACTACAATGTAAAGATATTTAAATGCTGCTGTACCTGCAGCTGTGAAAGCAGCTAGCCGATGAAGCTGCCTGAGGTCAGCAAGGGAGGTGCAGAGCAGAGTCCAGATCAGTGAAATGCGACTGTGTAGACCGTCCAGAGAGGAGCTGGCACGGGTGTTATTCCTTCCTGTTAGTGTAGCTGGCTTCAACTGCTGTAGGAATCTGAGAAGGAAATGAATGTAAACAACATGAAATTGAAGTTGATTGCATAACTAAATTGGAAAGGCAGGGCATAGGGATTAAAAAAAAAGCCCAAGTATATTTCTTAAAAACAGAAGTGTGAAGGGGGACAGGCATGGGGAAAGCATCTCATGATGCACCAGTGGCGGAATTATGCAGGACAACTCAACACAACAGGAAGAAGGATGTAGGCTAGACTTTTAGAAGTTAGTGATTGGAGGTGCTCTTGCCCACTAGGGTCAATCCCAGTAGCGGTGTGCCCACTGAAGCACCGGAAAGGACTCTTGCCAGTGATGTTTGATCTTACTGTGTCCTTTAAAGGCACAGTGCTAACGTACCACGTGTGGCATTTCATAGGCAACAGTCAGTTACCGTGGTGAGTTTCTGCTACGTCCTTCTCCACTGGTGAGGCTGTATTCCTGTCTCCTCTGTCTAAGCAGCAGGGGAGGTGGAGATGAGAAGGAGAGAGGAAACAGAGGCTCTGGAAGTTCCGAAAGAGAAAGGGGAAACATGGAGTCAAGCAGTGTGTAGGTAAGCATCAAAGGAACTCTGCCCAGAGCTTCCCGGAAGGCGGCAGAGAGAGACTGCAGGCGTCAGGTATGCACCCAGGGCTTAGGGGGGACGTGAAGCTCTCAGGATTATGAAGAGGAGGCAAGGTGTAGGAGGTCCACCCTGGAAGGGCTGACATTCTGGGAAAAGCAAATGGCCCGTGCGAAGCATAGAGGTCTGAGTCGGGTGGAGTTGAAGCGTCGGAGCTGACAGCACCAGAAGCTGTGGTGGGCAAGCTGAGCGGCGGATGATCGTAAAGTGCTGGACATCAGACTAAGGAAGGGTTGTCCCCACAAATGTGTTGGGAGGAAGGGACAGGAGAGTTTTCTATGGAGATGGCCAGCCTCAGATTCAGCTTTTAGGTCTGAAGTTTAACTCCATTGTCAAAGACCCTGGACTGGGCCTCAGGCCAGAAGCAGCTCAGGAGGCCTAGCAATGTAACCTGGCAGTGTAGTTGACCGTGCATGTCGGTGGACATGGAACGGGCAAAAATGATTCCCAAGACTTCTGCTTACTTCTGAGAGCCGAGCTGGATGGTTATTTCTTTTCTCTTGTTGTTGTTATTTCAAACAGTGGTGGCTTAAAACAACTCGAATTTCTCTGTCACAGCATATGTGGGCTGAGAGTCCAAATCCACACTCAGGTTCTCAGTGGAGCTGTGTTCTCAATGGAGGAGTCCTTCAGTGTGTTCAGTTGCTGGTGGCACTGAGTACCTTGCTGTCCTGAGACTAAGCTCTCTTGTTGTAGTCTCTTGTGATCAGCCACAGACGGTTCTGATCTCAGGTCCTTGCCACAGACCCTCTCAAAGCCCCCCCCCCCAACACAATACAATGCTTCAGAGCCAGCAGGGGCGTCCGTGACCTCCGGATCCTCTTTAAGCGCCTCACCTGATTAGACTAGGTTCACTCAGGTTCTCCTCCCTTTCGATTAACTCAAGGTCAACCACTGGGGACTCCACGTGTGCAAAACCCCTTCATCTTTCCACACAGTTTAACATCACCAAGCTGAGTGCGGTCTGGAATTCTCAAGTCCTGTCCTCACTCATTAGGGGACATCTCAGAATTCTGCCTGTCACAGATATAGAACAGAAAAAAAAAAAAAAAACAGGGAGACAATCTCTCTGGGGTTAAACACTGGATTTGATATTTGAGGTACTGAGTTTCAAGTACCAGTGGTCGTCACCCGAGTAGAGCACTGTATTTGATGACTTTCCCCAGAGCACATGTGAGCTTTGGCGCACAGTCCATGTCATTACAAATACTGAAGAATCATTTTCCTGGGCTGAGGACATAACTCCGAGTTCTTGTGTAGCATTTGTGAGGCCCTGGGTTCAGTCCCAAGTGCTGCAAGAAACAAAGGCAAATCTCCCTGTTAACCGCGCCTGCCCGTTTGAATATAAGCAAGCAGATTCCTCCCAACTGTTTCTGCGTAACTGCAGATTTAACACGCAGATTGCCACTTTGTGTTTGCTCTTCTGTGCGTTCTTGTGTTTATGTGTAAACAAAAATGCTTTGAAATGATATTAATTAGTTCCCGTTATAGATTTGCTTCTCTTTGGTAGGAGATGGTCCTGGGGAAAATGTGTGTAATACTACTTTTTTTTTTCTTGTTTTTATTAACAATATGTATTTATTTTTCAGTGCTTCCTGGGATCCCTGGCTTCAGGAAACTAAACCACATCCTTTCTTGTGCTTTGGACTCTGAGGATCACCTTCATAACGACACATCATTATGTAGCTAACTCTCCAGAGTGTGGCCTCAAACAGTAAATGGCGGTCGGTGTGATGTCTGCCACCACACAGCTGATGTCCATGGACATTATCACGATTCGCTTGGACAGCATGTTCACAGTTGCCACACAAAGGTTAAAACAGTTGCTAGCTGAGTGTAGGCACTGCCTGGGGCCTGCCGGAGCTTTCTTCAGCCTCGAGAACATCAATGAACAGCATGGCGGATGGCTTCATTAACAGCCTGGTTGAACAGCATTTTCATACTTGGAGGAGGTAAAAATGCTCTCAGGAGTTTGTTTAGGTCTGCTGGTGCATACTGCATCCCAGCTGGAGAGAGCACACAGGGAAACACAGCACAAACAACCCTTCCCTGAAAGGTCTGGACCTTGTGTTCCGGTGGGAAGTGTGTCTGGAGAGGCCCGGGCTATGCACCCCAGCACAGTTTTGCTGTTGGCAGTCAATTTACTATGGAAAAACGACTGAATTCTCTCTCACAGTCTCAGATTATAACACACTCGGGTTATTGAATTAGATCAGGATTTACTTATTAAATACCTACTTTTAGGATTTAAAAACCCTTCTTTCTAAAAGGCCCCAACTTTACATGGGATGTAAAATTAAAAGGTTTACAAATAAGTGTGTTTGGCTGTGTTGTAGCTTAAGTGATGAGTTAAAACAATCTTTGAAGTGTATCAGCCCTTACATGTTCTCAAGATCTTGAGGATCAGGCCCTTCATTTGCATTTTTGTATTTTCTTTGGCTCAAAATAGATTTGATTAAAAAACAAAATTTGGCAGAAGATTAATCCATACTAGGATTTTTATTGCTTCTGTTATTTAAAAAACAACAATGTTACGCTTTGAGGTGTGATTAACTCATAAGCACAGCAGCTACTTTTTAGATATGTCTCATTTCACTTTCTTTTGTATCCGCCCACTGGCTTCCACATTTGTGCTGTGTGTGTCAGAGTGAGAGCTTTAATCTACTCTCTTCACATCTACCAGGAAGCGCAATTCAGCACCATTTCCCTTTGCCAGCGTGTGACAAGTCAGGCTTTGTAGTTACTGTGTGTGGGGTACAATGTGTTGCAAAAGCCAGTCTGTTTGCCTAAAAGCGCACACCATCGGCGTGAGGACTTTGAGAAGTGTACAGTTAGGGTTGAGCTGCCCACCCTTTCTCAGGAACGCCTGCTATGGGGGCTGGATTTCTCTGTACTTGACTTGGATTGCACCTTTTGTTTCCTATGACATTTTGACTAATATTTTCTGAATGCAAGCTGAGAGGTGAACAAGGCTCATGACTGGAAGGTAAGTTTGGCTCTTAGATATTTGGTCCAAGTTAGATATGTGCTTCAAACACAAGTCTAGTAAATACACAGAATGGGTCTGAAGAAGCTGTTCCATTCTTATCTGTGTCTGTGAGTACTACGTAACATAGCTCTCTACATGGCCTTTCACCCTTTATCTGTGTTATGTGTGTGTGCGTATGTGACCTGTGTTCTGCACATTCACTTGGTAGATTTGTGGATACATATCTAAACATGATAAAAGACAGCTACAGCATACCTAAGCTTATGCCTCATTCATGCATCTTTAAATCGATTTGCTTATCTTCATGGAAAGACCCATTAACCTTTTACATCTCAAGAATTAATCCCATGCCCCAGCTTCTGGCGTAACTGGACAAGTCGTATATCTATGAGATTTACTTTTTGCCACTGTGTGAGTAAACTAGGAGTCATTTAACAGTCTTTTGTCCGTGAATACTGGCCGTTCTCATGTACACCTAAAAGCAGTTTTCAAAGATAAACACTGTAGTTGGGGGAGGCTGCTGGTCACAGACAATGTGCATATTCCACTTGACAAAGTGATCCCGATTCTTTTCTGCAGTAGTTCTACCAAACCACACGGCAACTGGTAGTTCATGAAGATTTCCAGTACTTTGAAATTATTCTCATATTCTCCCATAGAGAACGGACATGCCTGGAAGGAGATTGCTGCATCTTCTCACGTGTTCTCACAGTGCTCTCCAGGGCTGTCAGTTCTGCTCACACATGCCAGTAGATGACTCTTGTCCTGTAATGTTGTCCACCTAGCTCGCTGATAAGGTGTGTGCGTGTGTGTGTGTGTGTGTGTGTGTGTGTGTGTGTGTGTGTGTGTATGTGTATCTCCCCTCCCCAGTAGATGACTGTGAGGACAGGGAGGTAAGTGTGATTGTTTTGGCTTACCCAGTGCCTGCATCTGCTTCACTTCTGGCAACACTGCCTTGCTCCCTCCTTCATGTATCTCCCACCACGTCCTCAGTCCCTGCAGCTGCCCACCCCCTCCCCCCTGCAGCCACCCACCCCCTCCCCCAGGGGTGTCATACATTCCGGCCCTGGCTCTATCTGGATACAGGCTGGCCAGGAGGGGTGAAGGCTGTGCCCAGAGCATCACACTGAGACAGTGTTGCAGCGTCTGTGAGAAGGTCATCAGGCAACTCCGTGGACACAGGCTGACTGAGTTAGACACGGCACAGAAGGAAGGAGCGCCAAAGCGAGGCAGAGACTCTTTCTGGATTCGGCCGTGTCAGGTGCAGCTAAATCGCCATGGCTTTTCACCCACGAAAGCTAATGAAATTCCCTGTCCCAACTTCCAGTTCTGACTAACTTAAGAATTGTCTATTGTTCACCCATGCCGAGATTGACAAAGGGGC